AAAAGCATCTATGTAACCACGATTATATGACCAATCATATATCCCATTTATTATTTTGTCCCTAAGAGTTCTCTTAGGCCCCGTTTTAACAAATGAATTAATTAAGTTCAAATTTTGCGAAGATGAATAAACGGGTTTATATAAAAAAGATGCTATAAAAATTCCAAAATAAGCTATACTAACTGAAAAAATTGCATCTTTCACAAATTCATACCAATCCATCAAATCATTCGAATTTTGATGTAAAAGGTTTATAGCCGGATTTAACCATTTGGATAATATATCCAAATCCACTCCTTCGTGATTGAAAGGAATTCCTATGGATCCAACGAACAAAGTGAATAGGGCTAATACAAGCAGAGGAAATAACATAGTATTGTCCGACTCATAAGGATATGAATAAGTGTTCTTATTGCAAAAATGAGAAATAGTAATAAAGGTTCGTGTCATCTTTCTTATATTCTCCTCAATTCGATATGTCTTCTTTGAAAAAAACGAAGCACTTTCATTATTATTCATTGTTAATAAAGTTAATAAGCGAAAATTTTTGTTAATTGTTTTCGAGCCTACTTTACCCCATAGAGATATTGAATAGAACGGGGTATTTTTTTTGCCGCTATAATTTTGAAAATGAACGTTTAAATGACCCTCAAAAGTAAGTAAATAGATCCGAAACATATAAAATGCGGTTAATCCTGCTGTAGAGCAAGCTATTATTGCAAAAATTGGTGAATACAACCAACTATCATTAAGAATTTCATCTTTGGACCAAAAACAAGCAAGAGGTGGAATACCACAAAGAGAAAGTGTACCTAATAAAAAAGAAATTTTTGTGATTGGTACATGTTTTGTTAAACCCCCCATAAGAACCATATTCTTACTTTTATCCGGAGAATATCCAACAATAGTTTCCATTGAATGAATAACAGATCCGGATCCTAAAAACAATAATGCTTTCGAATATGCATGGGTAATCAAATGAAATAAAGCAGTTCGATAAGACCCCATACCTAGAGCTAACATCATATAACCCAACTGAGACATTGTAGAGTAGGCTAAACTTCTCTTAATGTCTTTTTGAGCAAGAGCTAAAGTAGCGCCTAATAATACTGTTATTATACCTATCAAAGATATTAGATTCAGTATGTAAGGTATGGCTGTGAAAAGAGGAAGAAGCCGAGCTACAATAAAAACTCCTGCCGCTACCATAGTAGCAGCGTGTATAAGAGCCGAAATAGGAGTAGGCCCTTCCATGGCATCAGGTAACCATACATGAAGGGAGATAGTACATCAAGCTGTTCGCAAGGGCCAACTTGATCCCTGGGGAAGAGGACCAACACATGCCACTGAAAGACTCTACTGAGACAAAGATGGGATTCAGTGGTGCGCCCCTAGTTTGGTGGGGAAGCTTTCCCATCTCGCATGAGAAAAGAGCAAGCAGCTTACTTACCCTAAAAGCGTGAAAGGGCAGGGTTGAAAAAGAAACTTTAGAAAAGCAGAAGGCAAGAGAGAAAGATTGACAGGCGAGGAAGACTGCCTTAGAACCAGGCATGATAAGGCTTTAGCGAGCTTTTATAACTACAGAAAGTGGCGAGAGAGGATAATTCTATATTGCGAGACCCCTATCTGCTTCTACCCTGCCAACATGGCTTCTGGTGGTTCCCCCTTGCTTCCCAATCCATTCTGCGGATAGGTGCATTTTGTAGTGTTCCGTCGTCCTCCTTATTGTCTTATTACATAGTTAATGGCCCAAGGCCCCAAGAGTTGACCCTTTATCTGAATTCCCTCATATATGGATTCTCACCTATATACAGCAAGGAAAAGAGTTCCGTTCGGGTTGCAGTTCATTGGCTCTGAGCTGTGGGACGATTCGCCCGGTAGGTTTCTTTGTCAGCCGACCCGGAATACAAGCTTGAGCAAGTTATTCTATTATAATAACAAGCTTTCAAAAAGAAAGGTTTTTCGACCCTACTGGTGACCGATGACCTACTATCGATCTCCAATCTTAGGTGCCGAAATACGCCTATGTCCATTTGTGCTGTACCGAATCTTCTGGGCACGTTAGGCAGAAAGGAGAGAGAAGAAAGAGCCGAGACAGGGAAATTTACAGCTGCCCCTCACTATAAGTGTGACTTTTCCAGCTATGAGATATGCTTCCGCTCCCGAAAGATATTTTCTATTTGATCAGGCTATAGAGACCGCTTAGAGAGAGGTAAAGTATACCGCTAAGTTCAGTCAGCTGGAAGCGCGGGGAGGGGATTCAAGGCTGAACTTCTTAATCGTATCTCTTCTACGCAGGTACGGCAAATCCAGTTTGATTACGAGATTCCTTAGTGGAAGTTATAGCAATGGTCTGCTGGGCAAACAAAGAAAAAAGAAGAAGAAAGATAGCATTGCACAATAGCCATGTTTCAGTGAGAGTCGCTTCAGTGCGGATTTGATGCATAGAATTGGCAGGAAGAGATCCTCTTGCTGCTGGGGCATGCTTTGGTCTTCTTTCTTTGGTCTAGCTTTCTGTAAATCTCAATGAATTTCATCAGTTGTTTTTCCGTAAAGGTGGAAGCTATGAACCAACCCATCAACTAGTCCTCCATTGCTCATAGGTGAAATGAAGTAGGAAAGATGCGACAGGAAATCGAAAACAGCTAATCCAATGGAGTCAAAAAAAGAAGCTTTGGAGTATCAAATTGAGAGCCATTTCGAGTCAAATCGAACTAGATCATTATATATGCTATATCGAGAAGAGATGTCCAGAAGATAGATCAAGAATTTCTATTCAATTACATGCCCGGGCTACACTGGAACACAAATCTCAGATCCATTTCAAATGAGCTGCCAAGCAAGGAGACCTCTTGAAACCCCCCTCATAAGCATATTCTTATCAAGTAGGATCGGCTGCTAAGCAATCAAAGGTGTAAGCCGTGGGCTATACGCAACTACATAAACTACAACTTTTGTTGAAAGTTTTCTGTCTTCAAGAGGAATTCAGTCTGCGGCGAAAATGGCCAAGTCTGATACCAAGTAAGAAGGGCTAAGGACTTAAGTCCAAGCAAGAGCGGAGGGTGAGGGCGGTGCCCGAAGCAAAGCGGAGTGTCGTGAGCCTCTAGGCTCCGATTCACGTAATTGCTCATTCATTCTATGATTTTTCCAATCCACCAACAGAAGATTTCCATGTTCCCAACAGCAGATTTCACGCGCCTGCCTCCCTTTATGGACCAGACCTGCCACTTTCAGTTTCTCGATCCCCTACTTTCATTCAGCCCGAGTGGCTACGGAGTGGATAAATTGCTTCATTGTAAACAACAAAAAGAACATCGACTGAGAAAGTCAATCGAGAAAACCACTTTTGTTTGATTACTGCTAGCTGTCTTCTCAAATAGGATTTAGAATGAGGCTTCAGCCTTGGTCCATGGGCATTATTGACTGTCTACCTAGTAGGAAGAAGAATCTCATTAGGAGATGTCCATGTGGCTAATGGTGCAACTGAGAAAAGAGAAGAGAAAGGTTCGAATGATTTCATCTTCTTTATTACGAGAATCCTCTCCTGTTCGCTCTCGCTCTGACTGATTCGATTCAATCCAGCCACAGGTTTCCCTACGGCTTGATTGAATCAGCAAGTGAAGTGAAAACTGCCATTACAGTAAGAGCTTTCTTAATATGCATACGTTGCAGGTAATGGTGCAAGCGCCTCTCTTCGGTCGGTTGGAGCTCCCTCTTCACCCCTGTTGCTCAACAAACGGAGGATCCGCATTTCCATATTCAGATCCTGAAGTGGCCTCCATTGATGAGGAAGAGCGATGCATTTAGAAAAAGGTCTCAGCCCGCGCCCATTTCCTTCACTTCATAAGTTCAGTATGTTTCCAGACCGGAACTTCATACACTTAGTAGAGTGCTTTCAAGGGGCTTCTTTGAGATCAAATAGGCCATAGAATGGAAATGGAACACTCATAAGAGAATAGAGAAATGAACTCATAACAAAAAGCATCTGCTAGCGGGCTATAGCGACCTCTAATGGCCAAAATAGGACTAACTGATAGGGTCATTTCGGTGAAACATTCTGTTGGCCTAAGGGGCTATCTAACCACAAGCTGGCTTAGGAAGACCCGTGTCTCTCCATCGACCGAACGGTATGGATTGAGTCACTTTGACACTTCAATCCCACATTGCTAGTTTTGAGGGATCCTATTCCACGTGGCATTGGCTTTTCCCGTCCTTCCTAGTTTTGATATTTGGACTCAGAAAAGAAAGGAATCATAGTTTTGGCTCATACATGGTTAGTTTGATTATAGGAGTCATTTTGCTAACCTTATGCTGAAACAAAAAAGAAAATGAAATACACCTACCTACTCTGTAGAGAGCAGGAACCCGCAGGCAGTCACAAGATTTGATTGTGTACGAGGACTCTAAGTGAAAAAAGCAAGCTACTAATAAGGATCCAACCCTCTACTCTACTGTCAGCTCGACCAAGTACATATGGGCTTGGTTCATCTGCCTCACCACCGCCTTCAGACCTAAAGGAAGGAGATATCGCCTGGAAACTTATCCATCATAATATTTCCATCATCGGCGTTCGTGCCCCTTGGCTTCGTTGCTAAGAAGTCATACTATCTTCTGTTAAGATTTCTTTTAGCTACTATGTTAGTTAAGGGGGAACAACTCTACCAGTAGATCTTTGACTTGCCATTCTGCAGCCCGTTCTAAAAGGAAGAAACTGACTTATATTATGAAGGAGCTTGCCTTAGAGCCACATCATGTTACTTCGTTTGATGTAAGACTAGTGGATGTTTGATGGGATCCAATGAATAGCTTTTAATCTGCTGTACACGGAACAACAACGGAATCTCCTCTTTTTCACTGATCTTCTTTGTACTGAATCTTGTCTGTTGAACGGATCTTGTGGCACGAAACTCACCTGTAATTCGGAGATCGTCTGACTACTTACAAGAGGAGAGTCACATACAAAACCTAGCCAAACTGAGTTTTTTTCATTTCTCTCAGTCAACCAACTCGGGGGGAAACGCAGAAGCCTTTGTTGAAGCCCTATCATGACTCATGACTGGGCCGATGGCAGTGTTTTGGCCTTCCAAATAGAGAGTCAAGCCAAACAGAGAGTTAGGTAAGAGTTTGATCTTCAATGGTTTTGGCGTAAAGGGCAAGTCAACAAATCCAGCAAACAAGACTTGATGCCCTATATACGAAAAAAGAAAGACATCTCGCGAAACTTTGGGCTGAGGTCAAAGTCAAGCATAGCCATATAGATGCAAGTGATAGATGCAAGTTGTGGTAGTTATCTAATCCTGGTATCCTTTCCAAGGCCTGGATGTGAAGATATAGGTCAATGGCAAGAGAAAACGGAGCCCAATGTGTCTAAGTAGAACTCTTTAACACTGCAGTGGTTATTAATGGCGAAGTTGGGAAATTATCTCAACACTTTCCCGCAGACATCAACATTGTAGCTACCGGAAATCCAATACAAGAGGCTACATCAATAGCCGAACTGAGACAATCCAATACAAGACAAGGGAAGAACTTCATTTTCAGCACATTTATACGAAAAAGTCTTTATTATTCTAATAGCATAAGTAGTAAACATTTTCAACTAGGGTTCCCATACATGCAAACATAAAAAAGAAAACCAAACAAAGATAGTTAGCATAAATAGGAGTCTATCTCCAGTAAGCATCGGAGTAGATCTCTACTAAAAAAAGACAAAGAACACCATAAATTAAAACACACTACTTTGCGTCTACAGACACTTATTTAAACCTTCTAAAACTAAAAAGAGTCGACGGACTCTTCTATTCTAGTCTCCCCGGTGACCGCGGGTGACAGCACGCACAATTAGGGCTTCCTGCTCCGCCCGCAGCATTTGGAGCCTGAGCTCGGCTTCCCTTATTATTTGGTCTTTTGGTAGGTATCGCCAAAAGGCGAAGAGGAGCCTCCGGCGTTCGCGGAGCTGGTTCTCGACGCGTTCGATTTCTTCTCCAAGTTGAGCAAGCCTTTGTGCCATAGCCATAGACATAGACATAGTTCAGCAACCTCCAAAAATTCTTTGATTTTCTACGAAGGCTTATGGCTTCTCTTGCAGACCCTCTATTTATAGAGTGTATAGTATAGCCATGCGGCACGAATTGCATGGCTGGCACAATCTGAGTACTATAACCACGCAGCCTGTATGAACAAACAAACTTTGCAGAACCGTTTCACCTAATCGATCGTGGTGAAGTCAGCAATGGATTCGGCGGATCATCCACGTCACGCTAGGATTTTGGAAGGACATTTACGAGAGTGAGGTGGAGAAAGACGGGAGTGGATTTTTTTGCTCTAACTGGCTGTGAGCATGGGAATTGCGTTTCCGAGCAGAGGGCAGAGAGGAATTTGGTGTTGCAGGATTGATGACCGGGAAAGGGTTGATAATGTGTTGGTTTGTTTTAGCAGGTATATTGGTATGAATGAACATATTATAGATATAGAATGTAGAAGAATCTCGCCATGCGTCACGAATTAGATGGCAGGCACAATTCTTACTAGTTCTCCACACTACTTTTCTGCAGTTGAAGACTATCATGCCTTTTTAATGAAAAACTGGCTGGCTCTGGCTACCTTGCGGAGCAAACAAAATCTCCCCAAATCACACTGCCTGTATGAACAAACAAACTTTGCACAACCAGCTTACGTAGAAAAGATTCCATGCCAATAGACTCGTGACATCCATGTACTGAGTCGTCAAATGAGCCACGTTAAGAAAGCCCAAGCTTATACGCATTGGCCCACAGGGTGTCCCAAGAGGGCCCGAATGAAAGACCCAAGCTTACATGAACCATCAAAGAAAGTCCTACAAATGAAGACTTGGGCCTGTCAAGCCTGCTTTCCTCGATGGAAGCCCACAGAAGGGCCAAAGCACAACAAGAGAGCCTACCCATCATCAAAGAAAGAAAAAGCCCAAGTCCATGCAAGAAGGCCCGCTGGATTGGATCTATCCAAATTAAAAACCCATAAACTACTATCCTACATGAAAGGATCTGAGTCCATCCAAATAGCCCAGAAAATGACAGCCATCAAAAGGCCTAAGCCCATGTAGGCCCGTCCAATGATGTTCAACAACGGTCTAAACCCGAGTAGCTGTGGCCCATGCCCACGGGATCCGCAACCAGTCAATCATGCTATCCTGTCCTTACCTTCCAACCAACCCCTTCGATTCCGAACTGATCGACCTTAATGTAGCTTATAAGTTAGAGGACGGGATGTAACTGAAGCGAGCGAGTCATGGGCTTTGTTTCGCGGGTCGAGTACCCATTTTGAAGTGTTCTGTGGGTGGGTTAAGAGAATATTCATTCCATTCAAATAGCTCTTTCGAGAGTCTTGTCTAATAGGCAATTCCTGGGAACGAGATGGGGGGCTAGTCTTGCACTTTCTGATGACATCTTAGGCAAAGGCCAAAGGCAAACCTAATTAATACGAAAGCTTTCGAAAGACTTCTTTCTCACCTAGTGCTAGTGG